TCTGTGCTGTTTAAGATCTTCCAAAACTGTCCCACTAAATAATGATTCCCTTGAACCTTTTCCACAGGGCGGCCATATGTGCTCTGTCTCTGTCACATCATTTGTAACAGATTCTCTCCTCCCCCACCCAACTTCTCTCTTTAGCTTGATCAACAAAAGTCTCCATGTACAGTACGTGTGACTAGCAATCAACTGGAAGCTGATTTTAATTTATCCTTTTTTAATGTGTGCATCACTTACATGGGGGATACACATTGTGATATATGATCCTCAACAAGGCTTTTGCAGTTGTATTATCTCAACACAGGCAAAGCAGCTCAACCACACAGACGAGTCTCCTCAGACATCTGACGCAGCAGGTTCCAAGCTTAGTGAAAGTGTCAGCTTACAGCAGGGCTGGGGAACCTTTTTCCTCTCGAGAGCCATTTCAATTTTTACAACATCCTCCGGCGGCCGTTCAAATGATTGAACTCAACCTCTGCTAAAAAAACTAAAGTCACAGCCCATTAATTTCGCCTTTCTTTCCTGCTGTGCAAAAAAATGCAGACACTCCCTATCACTCGCATGCAGATCCTTTCTTTAATATTGAAGTTAAAAGCATTAATCTGGTGGAGGGTGTGTGTGTGTGTGTGTGTGTGTGTGTGTGTGTGTGTGTGTGTGTGTGTGTGTGTGTGTGTGTGTGTGTGTGTGTGTGTGTGTGTGTGAGTTCAACACATATAATAAACAATAGTGACATTGAGCCGGAAAAGGCTGGTCTGAGGCTGTAAACATCCGGTTGTTGTGGTAGATAAACGCCCTCTACACTAAATATTGGACATAAATGTAAAGCACGTTGGATATAATCACAGCAAAACACTCACCTTTACATTTTTGATCCTAACGAGCTTGTCCTCGACTTGAACCGCTAACTTTCCTCCATCTGCGCTCTCCCTGTGAGAGAAGAAAACATTGCTCTAGTCAACTTTGTAAACATTCCCATTTGGATGCGTTGAGAAGTGTGACAGCTTTTTATGAGAAGTGAGAGGGATCAGATTGAAGAGAAAACATAAAAGGCATATCAGTAGTAGTGATCAGTGACTACATCTATATGATCAATAATGTTCCACTATTATTCAGAATATGACAAGAATACGAAAATTCCGTTTGGTGATTTGAAATATTTTTGAAAATGCCAATATTGCAAAGATTTGGGGAGCATTCTTTGGTCGTGTTAACAGCGCGATCAGAACATGTTTTGGTTGCCGCAGTTTTCAACACACTGCCTCTTGACTGCAGCTGGAAAAGGTGGGAAGTGCAGTTGTAGCACATACTGCAAGGGGGTGCATGTTTACAGGAATATTCATGGATTATTAATTTAAACAGCTTACTAGGAATATTGTGAGCATAGCATTTCCCACTTGACAGATTTAACAAAGGTTTCACTTTGGATGAAACACCCTGCAGACAGATTAAAATAGGTTTAAAAAAACTATTTTTGCAGATGCACACATAATGGAGAGGGTGTCCAGAGACATTTAGGCCGTCACATGGTTAACACAATGAACCTCTGTGTGTGTGTGATCCATGAAATCGTCACTGACCAGTTTCAGATTCAAATGAAAACAGACGCTTCACTCGGATGCTTGGACTGTTTCCACAGATTCTACACTAGTATTGTATGTGTGTGTGTGTGTGTGTGTGTGTGTGTGTGTGTGTGTGTGTGTGTGTGTGTGTGTGTGTGTGTGTGTGTGTGTGTGTGAGACAAGGTCAACTCAGCAGCTGGACCCAGCACATCTGATGCAACACACACGAAAATCGAGGCAATCACAACATGGAGCTGAGAGTATTTCGATCTCCAGGAGCGATAAAGGCGGTGATTCCTGTCTGTAGTGCAAACGCTGAGTCTCTGTGGAGGGTTGGGGGACGACGGGGGGGTTTTGTAATCGTCAGCTCCCCCTGAGCTTCACCATGCGGGACTCATTTTTCCAGCAGTGGTGGCCCAACCCAAAACCAGCAACCTTCAATCTCAGGCTCTAAGTAGCATGAAGGAGAGGAGGGTGGTAGAAAATAGTAAACCTCGTAAAATAAAAAAACAGTGTTGAAACAAACCCAGGACCAGAATTCTCACAATCTGGCACACATGTTTTTGCACATGAGAGTGGCTTCATGCCGTCTAAGGGGGGCATTGAGTCCTTAAACAATGAGCAACACACTTCTGCGCCCGGCCAATGAGGAATGCAGCTGACCAACCTGGTGCTAAAGTTATGTGTAAGTGAAACCGACAGATCCAGGAATGAGGAAACAGACATTTGCATGACAGTGAACATTATGTATAAGAATTGCTTTTGTTATGCAAAATACCAGGAAGGCTGTTTGAAAGAATCATTGTCGGAGCCTCCATAGCCTGGATAATGCTTTGTTATGGTACTGTAGTGGCATTTAGATTAAGAACCCCAGCCAAACATCCTGCAGGAGGTGAAGTGAAATCAATACTGTAGGACTCTATGTATTATACCCTCACACTTCTGAAACAAAAATATCTGTTATCCAACATGTTGTAGCAATCTGTCTCTTCCTTTAAAGGGAGGTCCAGTGGAGCAAAGTAGCTTTACAACCTCCATGTGTTACTTTGCTACCTAAACAGCAGATTTTACAGCACTGTAAAAACAGGGGGGAACTAGTTTTCCATAAATGCCTCACACCTAACAAATGTAATCTCAAAGCCAATGAGAAAATGAGAAACCAATGTGTTTTGTGTATTTAAAATGTATATATTTTGCATTAAAGATTTAATTATCCGACTAAACAACATCAGTTGACTAAGCCTAATTTGTTTTTTTCTGTTCCATATTATGTAATCAACCTCTTAAACCTCACTGTTAAACGAGTGGACTATTCATTACTAACTTCTGTGCAGTCAACCAGTGCACATACAACATTTCTAGCCATGCATAACAGAGAGGTTTTCATTTCATTTTAATGGGGATCTGAAAGTTCTCAGAAATAGAAATGCAATGCTGAATTATGAAGCAAATGTGTAACAAAGGACGCTCAATACATCTCGAGTATATCCATTTGATGGAAAGATGCAGCCAAGTAAAACATAGAGTCTTAGGTTGAACAATTTACTTTGTGTAAACTTGTATGAGCTAGAACAAGATGAAACAGATATACCATCTATGAAGAAAAAGCATCGGATCACATCTGAGCAGCAGGCACCAGTTAATGAGATTCCAGCAAGTACTTAAATATCTGTTTATCAACCATCTGTTATCAACCAACATGTTTAAGTTCAGAAAAAATGATGGGATAATACAAAGAAAAAGCTCTGATTTTCCTGCAATCTTGTAATCAATTGTAAGGCTCAGGTACAGCAATGATCGATTGCTTTAAAATAACTGATACTGATTGAACCTAGGTGCAATCATACATAAAGCAAAGGTGTTTTAAAAGCATTACAATTAATCACCACATGGTCTTAATGGCTGTGCGTAAAAATAATATAGTGGGACACTTTAAACCCAAGCTCAAGGTTGTGTGGACATTACTCAGCACCACACACACATGCACACAACATGAGTCACTACTGACAGCCACAGTTGTCATTATTCACCATGTGCACCACTGTTTTTAGCTAGCTAACAAGCTAAAAACTAATAAGCTAGCTAAAAACTTGATAGCTGTTTACTTAAAAAGTGCTAATTAAACATGAGAAGCTTAACGTTAGGTTATTGTTTTGATTAGCATTAAGGAGTAGCTTAAGTCACATGACTGTGGGTACAACAGTTCTGCCATGAAGTAAAAATAACGACATTTATAATAAAGTTCACTCTTAAAATGTACATTTAATAAGTACTTTAATTAGCCTGACAGCTGACATTTTACCTTGCGTTGAGAGGACGGACGCGGATGGCAACTTTAACATTAGCCATGATGTCTTCACGAACTCAACAGTTGGCTTACTCGGAGTAAAATAGCAGTTTCCATGAGAGTATTTGGGGTCTTCTGGCATATTAAACTCCGATAAAAGCTGAAAGAGCGGGAGGAAACTGTCCTGCTATCCGCTGTTCAAGTCATCTCCACCGGCTGCTGGTCGCGGGTTCAACTGAGTGACGAACCCCCGACTGGAGAAACTTCCTGCCGGACAGAGAAAGAGGGAGGAGGGGAGGCTGCTGGATACTCCCCTTACTACGACACATTCAAATATTTTTAGATTTTTTTTGCATGTCTGTTATTATTTAAATCTATTATTTTAAGAGTAGGGAAGCATACTTTGTCTTTTCTGGTAATTATATATTTTGTAGATTTCTTACATTTAAAAAAAAATTGTATTGCATGTCTATTATTATTATTATTATTATTATTATTATTTCAATCTACTATTAAAAGTGTTGTGGAAAATATTTAGGGAGCATACTTTGTTGTGTTTTCGGATAAAAATATATTTTGGAGATTATTTTAATGATTTTTTTAGACATGTCATGTCCTTGACTTTTTCATTTCTAAGGTGTGGAAGTAGGCTAACATTAATTAAATGACAAAAACAAAGTGATGAGAATAGATGTGAACAAAAAAACTGTTGTAAAATGAGTAAGTAATAATAGCTTGGTCTAATTTAAAGCCAATTTAATTAGTGTTGATATGTTCAAAGCAGTATCTGTATTTATTTATTTAAAGAAAGTGGTCTCAAGAATGGAGTAACCTTTAATAATTAAGAAAGAAATTCAAGTGATGAAAATGTTATGTTAAACATAATAATGGAAGTGAAGATTTGTGTGTAAATTTAATAATATAGTTATTGTCAATGGATATGATACATCTTATACTATCCTTAATAAAACCCCACTGACATTTAGTGTTTACAGCAAGATATTGTTTTTACAACCCAAATCTCAATTTTTTAAATCACATACAATTCAGCAACTCCATTTTCTATTCACAAATATTTTCATCACTTTTTTAACCAACTCATTTGTGTATCTTCCATCCCTTCCATCATGAAACTATTCAATATACCAATGATAAAAGCACACAACCATTTAACGCAGAATACTTCTTTATTATTAATATCTAGGTAACGTAAAAAAGATATTTCAATTTAAAAGCAGCAAACAATGCATACAACACTGGTTCAACATGAACTAAAAACAATCACAAACGCAGTCTCGCATTCATGAAATAAACCTGCAGTCACTAGTAGTGGCGGTCAAAGGCAGTGTGTGAAAGTGCTATTCTAAAATGATTAAGACATTTTATTTTATCAGGTGAATTCAAAAACCACCAAAGAAAAAAAATCACATTTTTAAAATCCATTGTAGTAACAAATGTGTCTTTACAAACTATGGCTTGTCTGGTTGAAAGTTTAAAATTTGGAGAAAATGTTTCAGTCTTTAAGTGACAGTTTCTTAGTTTGAATCCTAATAAGTTAGAGGATGACCCCTCTTCTGTCTTTGCCAATTCTGTGCAAAGGTATTGGCTGTTTGAAATGTACCAGTATTTCCCTTCGGACACAATCTACCATGTTTGCTTGCAGGAAAGTTCAACAGATCTTAAGGAGTGAGGTGGTGTGGGCCTCTGGCTACTTTCTGACTGGTAGGGCTTTCTGGTTCTCACAGGCAGCTTTGCAAAAGAGCACAGGGATTCATGAAAGGCTGCTGTCACTTCACAGGTGGAGAACAAAAGTCAGGGGCTTGCAAAGACTGTGCAGAGGCTGACTGTGGAACAGCTTTGATGCACAGCAGTGGCGAAATCAAAAACTGGTCAACAACAAAGAGTTACCCAGATCTGTCTTGAAAAACACTTTGACAGATGTGACATGGAGCACTGTGGCGATCACAGAAAAGATGCCGAGTTGTGAGACTGTTGTCATGTAGCGCCCTCTACTGTCTGTTGTGAGACCTGCAGCATCTCCATGTGGCTCTGCAGCTGAGCCAGAGGCAACAAGGGTTTAATGCTCTGTGACCGCAGCTGAAAATTCTCTATCAGCTCCTGAAATGAGAAAGTGAGGTCGAATCGCTAGTCAAATAAAAAAAATTCAAAGGAATACAATATGAAAGGAATGCAGCGAACCCTCACCGCTGGCAAGGCCAAGTTTGTTAACTTCTTCCAATGAGATACGACCTCTTCGTCCCTCAAGGCTCCTCTGTCCACCAGCTCTCTAACCAGGAACAGGTAGTTGTTCCACTGAAACGACAAATGGTTACAAGAGTCAAACAAATGGGGGAAAAAACTTTAAAATAAAGAGTAATGTCAGAACTCATCTTTTAAACACTCCCAATAACTTCTTCACGTATCAAAGTTTCAAACATTTTGCTTGGTAAAAAGAAGATGTAACATTTTAAGTGTTCTGCTCCATTTTAAATTAGTAAATTGAAACATTTGCACATCTGTTGCCTACAAAATAATCCTTGATCTGTGTTGATCGCAGGGACCATATAGAGGGCCATGCACATACAGGAAAGAGTGAGGTATTTGAGGGGAATATCTAATGCATATAAAAAGGTAGAAGGACATGTAGCACTTTCATTAATATTTTAGTAACTGCAGTGGTACCTCAGTGTCGCTGGCCTTTAGCACAGCAGTGACAGTGAGCGGGGTGAAGAGCAGGTGGAGCGGGGCGGCGGAACAGCAGTCTCTTTCCCACAGCTCAGCTAGCTGCTCCAGCAGAGCTCGGACAGGAGGCTCTGACCCTGAACCAGCAACCACAACGACCCCATCACCTCCGCCACACTCAGAGGGAGAGAGTACAGGCAGCTCTGCAGACACTGAGAGACACAGCAGGAACTCAGGTGTGTTACACAGTACAGCTACTAGACGTTATGTTGCTATTTAACAGACACAATGCAGGTCACAACATTATTATTTGATGATTAAGAGTCTGTCATTCAGGAGCTTCTTACCCAGTTTGCAGCCCAGGAGGACAGTACAGTTAAGAAGCATCTGCTCTGACACCACTGTTGAGAACTGAGTGAAGAGAAGAGAACAAGTGTCATGGTTGTATCAGGGTGTATGCAGGAATCCTGAAGTCAAATGTAAAACCTTTTAAGACCTTTTCTAAACATTTTAAGACCTCATCGCCACTTTGAGTTCTAACCTGTTACCTTGGCGACACACTTTACCTCACATTGACTATATACAGTATGGATTGTCCTTCCTCCTTATCTTCCAACCATTTGGACTAGAGATGTCCCGATCCGATCACGTGATCGGGGATCGGAGCCGATCAGGTGATTTTCAAAAGATCGGAATCGGGAGAAAAAAAATCGGGGATCGGGATTTATTTTATTTGC